TGACAAAGATAGATATATAAATGATTGAATATGTCAGAAAACGTTGACGTATTGCTTGTTTAGTATATTATTTTTGGATATATTTCTGCTATACGATTGTATTTTGAAACTATGGTATACTATATATTGAAAACCAATTAAACAAAACCATCTAAGTATTTTCAAATGTCTAGATTGCAGTACTTTTATTATATACTATTATTTATAAATTTTCACTACTCGTATGTTCGATGGACCTGTTTTGACTCAACTTTTATATTCAAAATTTACCGAAACATTGATGTATTTCTCGCTTGCCTGCACGTGACGTGACTATTATGCGCTGTAAAACATGTGAAAAATATTACCCATCGAAAATCGTATTTCATGCCGGTTTCGAGTTACTTTGCAAAAATGTATAGGAGGGCCTTTCCTTAGCTGGCTTTGTGCAAATATCAATATCATTGTCATCTCAATGCACAGGTGAAAGATACAAGATATGCAATACGGATACTTCTGTGCTGTTGTTGTTGTTGTTGTTGTTGTTGTTAAAACTTTTTAGTTGAGTTTTATCACGTCGGCCATTTACATAGTTGCGATATGTTTGAACAAAATATTGACGTTGATGAATTTTGATATCTGAAATTTTTATCTTTTATTTATTTTATTGTTTTATGGTGAAATTTTAATGTAATAAGCAAAAATTCAAGTAAATTTGTTGTTGACCTTGGTTCGTAAATGAAAAAATTTAATTTTTCTACATTGTTCCTGTTTTTATGTAACAATTTCGGATGCCAAATAAGAGAAAATAGGTTTCTGGGAAACTGTGTTTTAATTAAACAATTCAGATCATGGGAAAATTATTATACAAAATAATTAAAGATAGCTTTGTGTGAAAAATAATTAAAATTTTACTCTCCGATGAATCACGAGTAATTGTGAGTATTTCTACACACTTAAATACTAAAGTCTTACGTCTTCACGGAAGGAAAATCTTCAATTGAACTACTTATGAGTTAGCGCAAATGATGGTCCATCTTTTTAATCATGAGTAAAAAGAAAAACCAGAAGAATTGTTTCTTAAAAACGCTTGAATTGCTTTTTTAGATGCGATGCGATGTAAAGTAACTTCAGTTATGCCGACGTATTGCATTTGAATAGTTTACATAACTATATGGTATCTACGAAAATTTGTCTATTGCAACATATTGTATATACTATCTAATAGTATTATTTTTATTTGTATGTAAAACCCTTAGCATGGAATATTGTATAATACATAAGTACAAATTTATAATGACTTTAATCATAAAAATCATTATTGAAGTCATCACATTATCACGTCACCACATTATAAAAATTTCCTTTCTAAAAGAAATAAAAATTTATTGATGTTAATTTTTTCTTGCCGAAAGTGACGCTTCTTATGACAATAAGCAACTATTTAAAAGTTAGAATGGTTCGAATAGAAATGAGTATACTAAGACCACTGATGATGGCCTTAGCAATATTTCAATATTTCAATATATATTAAATCCTTTAACTCCTAGGTGGATCATAGGGTCGCATAAAAAAATAATAGTCAATAAATTAACTAAAATTTTTGTTGTTGTCTTTTCATTTCTATTCGAACCCTTCTAACTTAGAAACAAATTTGATTTCAGTGATTATTTCAGTGTTGAAGCTGAACAGTAGGCATTCTTTTAATTTGCCTTTACATTCTATTTTACTTTAAATGATGATCAGCTATAACTTTGAATTACCACCGATCTAAAGCAAATATGTTCCACAAGGATTATTATATAAATTGAAAACATAAATTAAAATAGTTAATTAAATTTCTATAGCTATGGTTTATACGTTAATTCTAAAAATAGCACAGTGAAAGCAATTGTAGCTTAAGAATAAGCAAAAAAAAAAATTTGACAATATTTAGAATGAAAATAATGCATATTTGTTCACAGTGTAAATCGTTTGTAGTTCAAGAATTATATATGAACAATTAATCTAAATTCTTGGTGAGCCCAGGAATTCACATGAAAAAAAAATTTTTTTTTGATTTGAAAATTTTTTCTGTATTCTTATCTCACCCTATCGCTCCTGAAATTTATTTCGAATAGAAGGTAAGAGGGTCCCCATTATATTCGAAATAGAATTCTTGCCGTAGTACATAAAATACTTAATTATAAATTAATTGTTATTTTAGCAATAGATTTTTTAGAATACTCATTTCATATATACGAATATATGTTTCTCTTTTTATTCCATGAAGAGTGCTTTTATATTCCATAACGGATTTCTTGTTTTTTTCAAGAGTCTCAATCAAAGAACATTTTTAAAAAACAGATCCATTACAAGTTTAGTAAATCTTACTAGATTTAGTTTCAATAGCATTTAACTTTGACTTGCCTTATAATAAAAAACGCTATTAAGCAAATTACTAAGCAAATCGGTGCATTTTTGTTTGAATATCTGTGAAATCTTATCTTTCTAAGAACTTTCAAGTTTTCACTCTAAACCTTTTATGAGTATTCGTTGTAAGATTACGTTTAAATCTCCATTTCTTACTTTTGGTGCTAACTTTCTTCCATAGAATTGTTCTCACGAACGCGAAAGGTTATAGTGCTTATGATCATAGCATAAAACTAAGCTTAGCTCATAGTACTTATGACCTTAGTATAAAACTAAGCTTAAGGCTATATGCTGCATAGCAAGGATTCGGATTCATGCGTTGATACTAGTTGTACCATTTTAACAGCATTTGCTTAGATATTATGGTAAGGTTACTGAATTCACAGATTTAGATTCTAGACTGACTGTAAAAATCTTTGTTGGATTTAAGTGGTCACTCGCGTGAGTTTTTAAACATGAAAGATTGCACCACTCTAATTCTATACCCCACTATACTGATTCCTTGACCAGCTTTATATGTTTTTATTTTAAGGCGATATCACCACATGCTTCATCTCTTCATCGTTGATATGGGGGCCTATTTTTTATGCCACCTGCTTCATATGACAAACGATTTTTTATACCTGATTTGGATCTTACGAAGATGTCGGTTTATGCTGACATCTAACTGGTTTTATTACTTATCCTAACGCTAGACTGAAGAAAAGATAGGCCTGACAATACCAGGGTTCATAAAAGATGTTAATTCATTTAAATAACAGTCCCAAAATTGTTACTTGGCTTCTTATAGTCAACCCTTTCAATTGCTTACCAAAATATAACTAATTATTGATTTGCCTGGAATAAAACCACTTTGTTATTACCCAATGATAGTTTAAGCATATGAAAATAATCTGCATTATGGAATAGGAAAGAGAATTTTGTATAAAAATATAAATATTATGAACTATTTTAAACAATAAATTAACATCAAAAGTTTGTTCAGCCTTAGCTACTTGGGGAAAAACACGATTAGTCATCGTTTCTAATTTGACATGCATGATTTCTAAGCCTGGCACTTGTAGTCCAACAAATAATATTTCCCAAGATCACTGATAATCGTAGGAATTATCTATAAAATTTGGTTGTTATTTCTATAAATTATTTAAAAATTTTTATTATATCTCGTGCCCTTCTAGCTAATAAATTTTCATATTCGCTTATCTAGTTAGGCTTTTGGCGATCCTTAAAAAAATTGCAGGAAGTTCGCCGATGCCAATAAACACAAATTTGTTAACAATTTTGTAGATATTTTAAACTCCATATGTTTTTAACTCATACATAATTAATTTATATTAAATTGTATAAAATATTTGTAATTCAATAAATATTAATATAAATATTAATATTAATATTTATTAAAATAATAAAATTTTATCGTTGCGATTTACAATAGTTTAAATTAAGAACTTAATTTCTTCCGTCAAAACGGACATTAAAAATCAATTGAACACAATAAATATTAATATTAATATTAATAAATATTAATATTATTATTATTAATATTAATAAATATTAATATTATTATTATTAATATTAATAAATATTAATATTATTATTATTAATATTAATAAATATTAATATTAATATTTATTGTGTTCAATTGTTTTCCAATGTCCGTTTTGACGGAAGAAATTAAGTTCTTAATTTAAACTATAGTAAATCGCAACAATAATATTTTATTATTTTAATATTTAATTAATAAATAATAAAATTGCATAAATGATTTCGAAATTGCTTGAAAATATAAATGAAAAGTAAACACTAAAGGCTTTAGTAAATATTAAAAATTACATCACTAAATGCAAGATAACTGCCGCGGAATGCAGCTGCGAAGTGACAATATACTTAAAAGGTAGTAAAAAAAGAAAAGAGTATCTATAGTAACAATATAATATATGCAAAAAAAAAAAATTAATAATAAAACAAAAGCAAAGTAAACCACATTGAAAATTTAAAAACTAAATCCGAATACGGCAAATCTGAAGATGCGAGTATTTGCCAAACAAAAATCACTTCAGGAAAATCTTCCGGCTTAAACAATATTTTTCATCATAATTACTTAACTCTTTTGGATATCAAAAAAAAAATAAATAAAATAAAATAAAATGGTTTAAAGTATTCCTGACTTAATTAAACAGTTTTAAAATGGTATGTAATGTGTAGTATTATATGAAAAAATTAAAAAAAAAAGCAGTTTAAAAGCTGTGCAGCAGGAAAAAAAACGCAAGTATGCCAAAATTAATGGGATTAATGGGGTTTTCCTTTCTGGGCTTATACGGTAAGTAAGTACATTTCAATAAGATGGCTTCTTCTCATGTATTTGTTTTGTGAATTTATGAATTTAATATTAATATTGATTAACTAAAAAAAATAATAAAAAAATCATTAAACCAGCAAACCAAATGCGAAATACTAAAGCACGTAGACGCAGCACCAAAGTGCGTTGTACATATTTTATTTTTGTAAATTAAAAAAAAAAATAATAAAAATAAAAAATATTATTTTAAAAAGCGTAAAAAACTGCATTGTATCTGACAACAAAAAAAAAATAAATAAATAAATTTAAACAAAAAAAAAAGTAAAATTAACTCAAACTTTGACTCAATCGCATAAGCCAAACAAATTGAAATTTCTTAAACGCGCTCAACTTGACTTTGAGTCGCTGCATATATAAAGCGGGGTGGCATAAAAAATTCCATGTCATTTCAATAATTTCGGTCGTTGCGTTGAGACGTTGGCAAGGCGGTGACGAAAAGTGTGCTGTGTGAATTACTTTTAAACTAAACGAAAACGAAAGTGTTTAACACATTAATTCAAAATTCAAACTAAATAATTTCTACCGAAAAGTGCAAATAAAACTATTACTAAGCAAAATGAAAGCCTTTGTGTTGGCAAGTGTTTGTTTATTCAGTGTTCTAAGCGCTGGCTTGGCACAGTTCTCAAATGGGCGTGTATTGGATCCACCAAATCCACAACTGTGTGCACAAAGGATTATACACGAGAAGACACCCGATGGCAAAGGGTGAGTAATGTGAACTGTCTGTTTATTTAATATATTTAACAAATAAATCGTTTTAAAGAGTTTACAAAGTCTATTCCAAAATTCTATAAAAAATACTTTCTCTAAGGGTTCTTATAAGATTACTAAAGGTTTTGAGAAAAACTGCAATTTTATTAGTTTCATATGAATTAAAAATTAATATATTATATATATATATATATATATTATATTTATTAAATAATATTATATATATATTGTTGTATTATAAATAATTGTATATTGTATTCTGCAAAGCTTAATAATTTTCTCAAGAGTCTATTTTTCTTGAAGTTAAAATAATTTATTAGTTTGAAAAAAAAATAAGTGTAGATTTATATTTAAAGAAATTATTTGGTATTTAATATTTTAAATGAGAGGTATAATTGTAAAATATTTTTTTCTACTATTACATATATTATTGACAATATTAATTATATTTAACATAATACAAACGAATGTAAATAAATATTTAAGTTTCTGTTTTTTATAAAAAAAATGCAGAATACAAAAAATTTTTTATTTAATATTATTTTACTTTTTCAATTTTATTTAAACAATATATTTTTCTACATATTGTAATATAAAAATAGTTTTTATATTATTATTTATATTTTATTTATTTAATATTTAATGTAATATATACAAATATACCATATATAAATATTAAAGTTTCTGTTTGTTATTTTGAAATATATTTATAAAAAAATGCAATATACAAAAAGTTTTTTTTTTGCAATGTTATTTCAAGTTTTCAGTTTTATCTAAACATTATAGTCTTCAACATATTGTAATATAAAAATAATTTTTATATTGAATATTCTTATTTTCATAACAATTGTTTATTTACATTTTATTATTTAAAAACATTATCAATTATTATATTATATTATTATTATATTATTATTATTATATTATTATTATTATATTAATATAAAGTTTTATATTTAAATATATTTAAATATAATATTTAAATTTTTTTTTATTATAATATTTAAAATTTATTTTCTTATAAAATAATAAAAATATAAAATGTATAATAAAAAAATATTCCATAATATTCTATTCTATTCTAATATTTTCTATTATTATATATATACATATGTACTAATTTATTATTTTCTGCTTTTTAATTACAAATAAAATTAATATTTTTATATACATTGCTATCAACCCATATATATATTAGTTGTTTAAATGTATTTTTTTTACCAGTTTTCGTAATATTTTTTTTAATATAATAAAAGTTAAGAAAAAAGTGATCTAAAAAGTATATAAAAGCTGAATAAAAAAGATACAAAATTTTAAAAATGAAAATAAATTATTTTTATTAGATTTATTTATAATTAATATGAATAATAACTAGTAACTAAAGAATTATTTACGACATTTTCATTTGAATAAAATATGAATACTAAATAACTAAATTTACTTAAAAAAATTTAATTTATTTACATTTTTAACATTTACGTATTTTTTATTAATTTACAAATTTTATTTATATATTTTTATAAATTATTAAAAATAATTTCCAAATTTTTAATATAATATCGAAAGTATATAAACTATAAGGAAAATAGTATATGTATATAAAATAATAAATGTAAATGCATTAAAATAATATTACACTTTATTATGCATATTTTTTAAGTTTATTCTATATTTAAACTTATTCCGTAATCAAGTTTAATTTTATTTAAAATATTTATTTAATTTAATAGCATTTACTATTAGCCTAGAAAAAGTTTATTTATATCAAAGAAAGCTATATAAAAGACCTTCTGTGATATATTAAAGTATTTTAGAAAGAATAAGACTCTATTACCTCGAGTTTTATAACGACTTCTGATCTGCGATATATGTAATATGTCATAATATAAGTGTGATACTTTCTAAGTGAAATTATCTTAAAAAATATAAATATTTTAAAAATAATTTATGTTATGATTAGTATTTGTCATCAACCTGGAAGCAATTTATTTAATGATTCTAAGAAGGGGCTTAGTAAATATCAGAAATAGTTTGCTACTATGGGTCTATTAAAAGAGCTACTTTAAACATTTCTTTAGAAGGTTTTTAAATTTATATATTATAATTTCTTTGAGTGTGGGTGCTCACGGTAGTGATTCAAAGTAAAATATGGATACGTGATACAAATAAGGCTTGATTATAAATTATTCTTTACGTGTTATGAACTTGATGTATTGATAAAATATAAAAAACTTTGAAAATTTTTAAAAATGGCATTTGAATCATATTTTCCAAATAAGAATCTATAACTTTTACATTCGTGTGGGAGTCAGGTTTCAATAATAAAGTTTTTTCCATAATTTTTTGGCTTTTTGATTGCAAATTTTTGGAACAAATTTTACTTTAGCACCTTTTTTTAAATATAATCAAATAAGAAAATTTCTTAAACCATAGATAAACCATAGAATAATTATCTAAATGGATACTATTTAGATAAAGTTCCATTCTTTAGATATAAAACCTATACAATTTTTTTTTATTTTTTTTGTAGATAAAATATTAAATTAATTATATTATATTTACAAATAGAAATATAAATAAACGTAAACATTCTTTTTAGCTATAGTTGAGATATCATAAAAATATCTAAGTAATAAGTATTTTTATTTTTCTTAAAAAAAATCTTTATGCTTTAGGAAATATAAAAAATACTTTACGAATATAATGCAGAGATTTTCAATATTTAATATTTTAATATATTGTATATTTTTCAATATATCTATATTTTTTCTTTTAAATATAAAACCTCTACATTTTTTATATTTACTATGAAAGTTGACTATAACTGTATGATTCGCATATATCTGTCCTTAGAAATTATATATTAACATTTTGTATGTATATGTTATTAACATTTTAACTTTGTATGTATATTTATTTTAAAAATATTATTATTTATTCATAAGATTATGCATACAATAAATTTAATTGAAAAATAATATAAAAAAAACTTAAAAAAATAATATACACCTAATAAATCAATTGCAAATTTTTTTAACTTTTAGCCATTTTTAATAATTGAGATTATTAATTATAATTGCACAAATATAATACAGATTTATTTAATATTAAAAAAATTACTTATCCAAATTATTTATTAATATCTTAATAAATATAATTTATTATTTAGATGTTTAGTCTTAAACCAAAGAAGTTATACTGAGAAATTAAAAAATATATACTTTTTATTATTTTTTTGCGTTTTGTTTTTATTTGTCTTCAGAACAATAATTATTAAAATAACTAACATTTTTAATAAAAATATCATCTTAAAATATGGAAAGCTAAATTTTATTTCCAAATTTCAATTAATGAATTTTTCAAACTAAAACTAATTTTTTATTATCGCTAATTGCTCAGGAAAACTAATAACTCTTTAAAACGTTTATATATTTGAGGTAAATAAAATATATAGATAAGAGCAGTGCTGAATGAATCACAACGATCATTATAGTCAAGATAAATTAAAAGTTCTCTACTTCTTTTCATTTATTTTTATTTCAATTTTATATTAAATTTAATTTATTTTATAACATATTTTAGTTACTTCTTCTCATGGCGTGACCCTAACCTTAAGGGAGTTGAAGAAGATTGGTTGAGTGCAAGAAACTACTGCCGCAGACGTTGTATGGACTCAGTTTCATTGGAAACTAGTCTAGAAAATGAATGGATTAAACAACGTGTGGTCACTGAAAATGTAAGTTCAAAAATTTACAAATAAAATTAAACATTTTAAGAGAATAATTATAGCCAAAAAAGATTATAACATGGTAAACTACATAACATATACTAACATTTAGACTAATAAAAGAATTTATTTAATATGCATGCATTAAAGACATGAAGTTGAAGAATTTAAGTTTAGACTTATCCAAAAATCATTTTAATTAATGCACAACATACACTTTTAACCAATGCTTAAAATATCAATGTATCTACGTATATATAGTAAAAGCATATAAATATCCTAAGTCTCTACCTGCGTTAGAATTGAAGATTTTTTAGCATAATAATATGTTAACATTAAAGATCTCATTGTTCATTGTTAACATATATGCATTTTAATAGTAATTATAATCATAATCAGTCAAGCAGTTAAGTCTCAGTATTTTACAATATAAAAATCAGAACTTAGCTACATCTCAATCGAATAGATAGTTTTATGGAGAGCTTTTGAAAAGTAGTGAACTACAACAATAAAATTATTTTTATATTATTTCAATTAATTGAATTTTCGGCTGACCGTACAGCTGTTTCGAGTATTGCCAAATACTCTTATATTTAATTATTCTTAAAAAAAATTTTTGAGACTGTAAGTACCAGGAATTGAACTCGTACCCTGTCATATTTAAAGCTCAGAGTCAGCGTTCATTAACCAATTAACCCAAACCCGTACTGGACTTCTATGTGCGCACATTTTTCTGAAGTTTTGTTAATTTGCTGTGAAATTAACCAAATATGCTAGTTTCTATTAAATATAATAGTCACTTCCATCTTAACTGACGTTAAATTACAACTTATATTAAAAATATATGGTCTTGCTTGTGCGTATCGTGAAGTGACAATAGCATGACTCTTCGTGTTTCGTTCTTAGATTAGGTTCTATACATAAGAAAGAATAACATAAAATTTTGTTGACATTGACATTTTGTTTGTTGTTGTTCTCCACATCATCAGGTGCATAATTAATTAAGATTCTGTCATAACAAGCGATTATATGTGCTCAATTAGGATTGGGTTTGCTAGTCCATTGCAGGAGCCTAAATTATTAATATATTTGATTCGAATATATCTTTTTATTTATTTCATGTAACTTATATATATACCTTATTATCTTGTAACTTATTATATACTTATATATGTAGATATTATAAATAAACTATACATTTATAAAATATATTACTATTTTATATTAACGCTGTTCTCTTTTAATCAAGGCACAAGAATTCAATTAATTTTATTTTAAAATTAATTAAAATTAATTGAAAATCAATTATTGTTTCCTAATAAAATGGCCTTACCTCAATAATATAACAAACTGTTTAAAAAAATGATTAATAATATAAAGGAAATAAATTAATATACATTTCTCTCGCAAGTAAATATTCGAACAGAAGACTTAAGCAACAAACTTGCCAAAAATGATATACATAAATTTTTTCGTTAGCATAAAAATTCTTCACACTTCTACCAATTAATAATGCCATAAATGCTTAACAACACCAAATATATGAAAGTGAAAACCGTTAAAAATTAACACTTTACAAATTTTTTTGTAAAGTATTTAATTTGTATTTATATTATTCATTAGAGTAAGAAATCGTCATATTTGGTATCATTTTACACAGAAACTCAAACAAAAATGATCACAAGCACAAAAGATTTCATTCATTAATTTTTCTAAAATCGAAAACATTAGCTTTTTTTTCTTTTTCCATCTACTTTTATTTATAGAGATTTCTTCCGTTAATTTTTTTCTCTTTTTTGGTCATTAAATCGGCAGTTGTTGTTGAGTATCTGAATGGGGATTATGTCACTTTCTATTGAATAATTTTTTGTTTGCGAACAATTTATCAAATACTCAATCAGCTGCATAATTAGTGTATGATTTTTGAAATACATATTTCAGCTTCTCGGTATTCAATTTTAATTAATTGCCTGCACATTTGTGTTACTATGTCAAAATTTGTATATATTATTTCGAATTGTGGACTTACAGTGTAAAAAGTTGAAAAAAAAGTTTAGAGATTTAAGCTAAAAATTTATATTGACGGACTTTTTATTGGGTTGAATTTGTATTGAAATTTATTGTTTTTAAGCACAGTACGTACATTAAATAAATATGTTAATTTAAGTAAATATATTAATAAAATTACTTTTCAATTTATTTGCAAAAATTATACTTCATTAAAATTTTTTTTTTTAATTTTGCATCTTTATTGCAATTAATTTGTTTTCATTTAATTAGCATTTAAATTACATAAAATTTATATGTTAATAAATGTCAAAGTGCAAATAAATTTTTTTAAATTTAAGTTAAAATTAATTTTTATACACCTGAAACAGCTATAAACTGCTATAAAAATTTAATAGGTCACCAGATAACAAACCTTTATGCTGGTTTATCAAAAGTAATAAATCTATTATTTAGTATGTTAATTTGCAAATTAATGAATAGCATTAACTTCATTCAACTGTACTCGTAGTATTAATTTTTATTTCTTATAATCATCAAATTAATGTAGTTAGCATATTTGTAATATTTCATTTAAATGCTTCTTATGTGAGGATTATTTTAATATCTTTGAATAACACGTATATGTAGATGCTATAGCACCTCAGTGGCTACCTGTTGTCCATTTCTCACTTCCTATCAATTTCCAAATTCCCACGTCTGTAATTTACTACTTTAAGCCAATTGAAACAAGAGTGAAAGTGACACCGTGCTTGGCTCCTCACCTTTAAAACCCTATACCAAATGACTTCAACTGAAACAGTATCGAATTATCTAAAAACGTGTAAGAGCATATCGTGTTGTAATTTAAAACTTAACAAAGTCAAGAAAAAAATTAAAAAAATTATAAAAGATTATAAAAAAAATTAAAAAAAAAAGAAAATCACTCAGTTGGGTGATTTGAAGAGTCGAGATTTCCGTCATTAAGCATGCATCAGCCGCAGAAGTGCAACCTCAACAAAACTCCTTGATTAAGTTCAATGTGAATTTCATCTGCTCAATGCATATTTTCTTTTTTGTTTTTTTGGTGTATCGAATCGGTTGCATGTTGGGTTCCACCAGAATTGCATCATGAATTGCATGTTGTTTGCCTCCTCGCCTGACAAGTTTCCAGTAAGCAAACACAGAGCGCTTATTACCGCTTTATTATATATTATTTTCCGTACAAAATAAAATTTTGCATTGTTGCATTGGCAGACACCAAAAAATCGAAAAAATCGAAAAAATTGAAAAAATTGAAATAAAAATTAAATGAAGACGAAAATTTAAGATGAAAACCGTAAAATTTGTATAGCAAGTTTCCAACTGCAGTTGCGGAATTACGTATTAAATGATCTGTGTGCAGTGGAAGATTATGCAATATTTTGTAAATCGTAAAGAGATTTTGCAAAGAAGATTTTCGAAAACAGCCGCAAAGGAAAGCATAAAATTTAATTGAACATAGCGGATCTGTTCGAGATATTAATCGAAGATGCATCTGCAACAGTAGCGGATTATTATTTAAAAAAACCTAAAAGTCAGTGTAAATTCGCGTCTACTTAGTGTTAATGAGAGAGAGAGAGAGAGATTTTTATGTAAATATTTCCAACTTCAAACTTCGATATATCAAATACTAGGCTATATGGATATATGGCGTAATGGAAGTTATTCAAAATGGCTTTATTTACTAAAATGCATTATAAACTAGGTTTGCTCGAATAATCGGCGACGTGTCATAAAAATATTTAGATTTTATTTAAGTAAGTTTCAATTGAAAGTGATAGGATTAGTTTTAATGTAAACAGCTAGCAAAATTTATACCTATTTCTGTAGAATTATACAGATGTGTTCTGCTAATCACTTCTGATCCAAATTAGATCCCAATTCAAACACGATCTTCTGTTAGTCATGTTGAGTCGATTTCATTATTCTTCCAAGCGTATTACATCAAAACAAATTATTAAATCACTCGTTTTAATTACGTAAATACTATTTAAAGAAAGTGTTCATTAAAGCAACTCAGTCTAGCCCGCTAAACGAAGCCAACAATTAACAATGTTGCCAACTTGCTAGTAATTGTGCTTTCGGAGTTGTAAAAGTTAGGGGAAGAACTTTTATTGAAAATGTAAGTGAAATTTGTTTAAATAAGTATTAAAAAAACATAACATTTATTGCTATCAAGCCAACAACCGTTGCTTTTGCGTAGAAAATTTTGCAAATAATTTATTTTGATTTTCTGTTAACTGCTGAGCATATTTTCATCAGCTGTTCGTTGTTTTGATCCGAAAACTTATCCGAAAAAAAAACACTTCCAGCAACCGAATACCTATGATTTTTTTTCAAACGCTGATTGGTCGCACTATAAATCCTTATTGGAACATACCGACTCCTCTCCGCCAACTTACACAATTTTGGCTAGAGTTTTAACTTTGTTCCATCTTAAATAAAGTTATTTCATCTCAGCATTTATTAAACAGTACTTGATTATATGTGTCCTCTGCTTATTAGAGAGGACTTAACTGCAGTGTGTGTTTGGCAAAGTTATCATCATTCTTCTCAGCGTTTTTATGAGAATCCATTGACATTTTCCTCTCTTTTTTTTTCCGTAACGTCAAAGGATGCAGTAAAGCGGTCACATAGCTCCCAACCCTTTCAAAATATTAGGTCTGAAGATTTGAACAGTACAGTGAAGACAACTATTTTAAATTAAAGATTATCAACTTATAAAAATATCATGTTAACTTTTTAAGGAAGAGTGACGCATCTTATGACGAAAAGAAAGTATTTAAAAGTTAGAAGGGTTCAAATAGAAATGAACAGACAACAACAAAGAATTAGTTAATTTATTGAAATTCGCTTGACCATACAATGCTATTTCGAGTATTACCAAGTACTCACCATCAATGGTCTTAGAAAATATTTGAATATTTTTAAAAAGAAGTTTATAGTCCATATACAATTGGTTTGGACTGTAAGTCCCTGGCTTAGAGAAGCGATGATTAATATAATTAGAAAACAAAATTATGTACTCTCTTATATATATTAAGATAGAAATTTAGATACCAACTGCAAAAGATTGGAAAGATATTTAGCGATCCAAAACATAAATTAAGAAATTTTAAATTATCCAAATACGATATTCCATAAAAACATTGATTGTTTATGGCCATGAAGAGAAAGTCAAAACATGCGTAATAGGCTTCAACAAACGTCGTCAAACCACTGCAATTGAGGTGTGTTGCTGTAGGTGATAATATGTCATGACATTGGTTAAGGCAGCGGTAATCACAGTTTTTTTGAGGAACTAATTCCGCTGTAATGTACATGAGTCTCTTATGTATGTACACAACTTATTTACAAACTTATGTCTTTAATTTCGAATAATTTTTTTGCTAAACAACGCTGAGCCCATCGCTAAACTTTGTTTATTTATTACTATTTAATGTCTAAACAAAGCCACGTATTAACCACGTATTGTCGTTTTTACGGCTATTGTCGATTTTATTTGTCTTTTATGCATTGTTACTGAGTACGTAGAAAATTGGTGTCGTTTGAGGTGTTCAACAATTTTTATGCATGTAAAATAAATAAAAATTTCTACTTGATTTTTCTCTTTGTATGAAGTTTTGGATATCCGAAACTCTATGCCGACAATGCTGCCGGGAAAATATTGGTGTCAACGCATTTTTTCTCGTACCTTTATTGTTTGGTTAATGACTTATTCAGTTCATGGACATGGTTATGAGGCGAAAACTGTTTGGAATTCAAATACACTTATCTACACTTTTTAAAAACTCATTTTCAATTGTGCGGGTTCAACGGATATTTCGAAAAACCATAAAAAATTGAACTTTCATCACATTATGAGTAATAGGTATACTCGAATGTTGGGTTCATAAACTTGGTACTATAAAAAAGAAAGTAATTAAAATTAAGTGTTAGGTTAGGTTTGGAGTGACATCCGTTGGCACTAAAGAAAACTTAAACTTAAGTTAAATGAAAAACTATAAAAAAGTCAACAAACCACGGATATCAACTACATATATCATCAGATAATTAAAATGTCATTAATCATAAATATTTGAATATATTTTCAAACAAAATATATTTTCAAACTGTACATTAACCTTTAAGGTATTACATGGAATTATACTTAGGAAAATTTTCTTTAGTTAAATTAACAATTGCTCATTTTATTCAATTGCAGGTGAAATACATTTGGACAAGTGGTCGTCTCTGCGATTTCAAGGGCTGTGAACGTCCCGACTTGCAACCCACAAACATCAATGGTTGGTTCTGGACAGCTACACTCCAAAAGCTTGCACCCACAACTGAACGTTCACAAGGTGATTGGTCACCTACCGGTGGTATCGGTCTACCACAACCTGATAACCGTGAATACAAGCAAAATGGTGCACCCGAGAACTGTTTAGCATTACTGAATCAATTCTACAATGATGGCGTCAACTGGCATGATGTTGCCTGCCATCATAAGAAATCATTCGTCTGCGAAGAAAATGATGCCCTCTTGAAGTATGTCCGCTATACAAATCCCAACTTACGCATTTAGATTGGTCTAATACCAATATAAGAACTCACACATAAACAAATATAAATGTTCATTAACTCAAAAAGTTATTTAAGACAAAACCAAAAATTTCATATTTAATTTTTTTTTAATAAAAAATTTTCGAAACTTCACTTTTAACTCTCAAAATTTACGAACATTTGTACTCTTCGTTCGATTGTGAACAAATCTCTAAACTGTCCACACTCATAATTTAGTTTAATTATTTTTTGTATTAATTTATGATTTAAATAATAAAAAAAATTTATGTAAATAATAATTGATGCTTTTTAATTGTTTAATATTTATGTGTGTAAACATACAATTATGAAACCTCATTAGCATATTTTTGTATGGATTTTATATTAAAAGTGACATTAATTGCTGCATATTTATCGAGTTAATTGCGTTGGTTTAAAAGTTGTGTAAAACGATTATAAGCGCAGAGATATCTATATAGTTTGGTAAGTATAATAGAATTTAGGAAATAAAATAAAAACAGAAGAACAAGAAAATACACAAAAAAATGCACAATTTCCTTACAGAAAAATAGACCATACCAGTAAAAAAATAGTGAATAGTCATTAAAGTGCTATCCCATAAGTAATATCCTATTATTTGGTATGTTAAAAATTAATTGTTTTGTGAAAAAACACTTTATCAAAAAAGATATGTAAATTAAAAGACATCCGATATACGAATTTATCTGAACATATTATCTGAGCCATTGATGCAGATAATGTTCAGATACATAACCTTTAATGGGTTCATTATTCCATTATTATTTCATATTTTCTTAATGAAATAGTTGTTTACATCACTTTAAGGAGGTCAGGGATCCCTTCCGTGGGAAAGTGTTTTACCATTTATACCGACCGTTCAAAAACTAGGAATGGCGTAGAAAGTGATGTTTTCTCCTCAAGGCTGAATATATCCTCTTATTATAGGCTTTTCGATCATTGTAGTGGTTTTCAGGCAGACTTGATCGTAATTAGGGAAGCTATAGCTTGTCTAGAAGTAGATGATATACTTGATAGGACTATATACATACTATGGGACAGTCAAGCTGCTTTAAAGTTCTTGAGTTCAGTCCAGTGTACATCTAGGACAGTCTTTGACTGCTACACATCTCTAAATAAGATGTCGATGCAGTTCAATATTTTCCTAACCTTGGGTCCCGGTCATAGGGATATTTTCAGCAATTGCAAAGCAAACGAGTTTTATCTTTTATGTAAATATGTAAATATTTTTTTTCACCCTATCTTTTTTTAATAAATTTTACTGATTTGCCAACAATTGAGAGTATATCATGTCTTCTCAAAGTTTTTCTTCTTTTGATCTCTTCTGTATATTTTAACTAACAGAATATTAATATATTGATATATTATATATATGTTATATCATATAATATATATATGCATTAATATATGTCTTCAATTTTGTCAATAGAGTACTTATTTCACTATCACAAATCACAAATCACAAATACCGATTACTTTATGTTCCAGTGGGAACATATTCTGCAACACTAACTTAAAAACAGCTGTCAAAAATTTAAATGACATTTTAGACTTTGTTTTCTGTGAAGTTGTCAACAAATACGCAGATTTTGTTTGCTCTTATCCCGTAAATTAAAAAAATGGATATTGGTGAACTTTTATCTTTTAAAGTAAGTTACTTTTTAATTTTATTTTTTATAATTAATAATACGCATCGCTTTTTACGAAAAGCCTGAATCTACACCAAAACGTCCCAACGAAGAGGACGATGACCCACCAGAAGTGCCGACAAAACGTGAAAAGCGTATGAAACGCATTGCTCAAGCTAAGGAGGCAGCTGACTTCGTTAAACCACAAGCAGTGGATCGTGTACCGGGTGATTTATCGCTGTTGAATCCTGAACTTACTGAAGAAGATCGTATGAATATATTAAAATACGTTGAAAGCGAAGAAGTAGATGGTGAAGTTTTGGATGAAGTTGGTTTAAAGAAATTAATTCTACTATTCGAAAAGCGTAATTTAAAGAATCAAGAAATGCGTATTAAGTATCCAGACAATCCAGAGAAGTTTATGGAATCGGAAGTAGATTTGCATATGGTTATTCAAGAACTAAGAGGAATTGCTATTGTGCCGGATCTTTATCCGTTACTTGTGGAATTACATGGTGTTTCTAGTCTTTTGGAATTGCTTGCACATCCAAATACTGATATAGCAGTGGCCATAGTTGATCTTTTACAAGAAGTTACTGATATGGATATACTAGGTAATAAAAATATATAAATGTTATTTAGAAATTCAATTAAAGGAGATTTTTTTTTAGGTGAGAGTGAGGAAGGTGCAGAAGCACTTATTGAGGCTCTGCGTAGACAACAACTCTGCGCATTGCTCGTACAAAATTTAGATAGACTTAATGAGGAAATAAAGGAGGAATCCGATGGTGTGCACAATTCTTTATCAATAATTGAAAATTTAGCAGAAATGAGACCTGAAATTGTCAAAGAAGCTGCTCAACAAGGTTTACTAGCCTGGTTACTTAAGAGAATTAAACAAAAAGCTCCATTCAATCCAAATAAATTGTTTTGTAGTGAAGTGATTTCCATACTCATACAAAATTATGAAGAAAATCGCCTCTTGCTAGGATCACTTGAAGGTATTGACGTCTTGTTGCAGCAATTGGCTAGCTACAAGCGTCATGATCCATCAAGTAACGAAGAACAAGAATATATGGAAAATTTATTTAATTGTTTGTGTTCAGCACTTTTGGCTAAGGAAAATCGTGAACGTTTTTTGAAAGGTGAAGGATTGCAATTGATGAATTTAATGTTGCGTGAAAAGAAAATGTCGCGTAATGGTTCATTAAGAGTACTAGATTTTGCTATGATGGGACCAGATGGACGTGAAAATTGTAATAAATTTGTTGATATTTTGGGTTTGCGCACAATTTTTCCGCTTTTCATGAAAACACCAAAGCGCAACAAAAAACGTTTATTATCGTCTGATGAACATGAAGAATATGTTTGCTCAATTATCGCCTCAATGCTAAGGAACTGTAAGGGTGCACAACGTCAACGTCTTCTTTCTAAATTCACAGAGAATGATCATGAAAAGGTTGATCGTTTGTTGGAATTGCATTTGAAGTATTTGGAAAAGATGGAGTCAGCTGATAGAGAAATTGATCAGCATACTGTAAGTGGCCACTATATTCTTTTTTAGTATAGTAAGAGCAAAATTAATTCTCTAGAAAAAAGCATTGCGAAAATGCGTTTTTTATGAAAACAAAGTATTAATAGTAACAGTATAACCCGGTTCATTGTGCAGTTAGTGAAAACGAGTACATAAAAAAAACTTAAACATATAGAGATTAATTTCTATATTTACAATATATTGCCACCAAGAGTAATTTCTTAGTACAGTTACAGTTCCCAGTAATAGTGGAATTATAATTAATGGTAGTTACTGTTCTTATCCTCCGATGCAGTTTATTCTATTATTCTATATTACTTAAATATAGAAAAATAGACATATCGATAGATAAATTGGTTACTGAAATACATTTTGGTGAAATTTCACTTTATGTGCTTATGCCCTGCGATTGTCAGGAAAGAAATCTAGTACCCTTCATTGCTTTCAAGAACGGTCGGGTCTACGTCGCGAAGCCACTCGTCGACTAAGTGCCGTTCGACACCTACCAAAAGTGTGTGGTTCAGGTCCCAGCGGGATACAACAACAACAATACCAACAACCCTTCATTTTAATTTTATTGAATCAATTGACGGACAATTAGATTTGTCGGCAGCCTTAATTTATTGTCTAAATTATATAGTTAGTTAGTTAAGGTAGAGGGAGGACGAGTCCTTTTCAATTAGCCAAAAGCCGTTTTGAATCCACAAAAACCTCGTAATAGTGGATAGTAGGTAGAAGGTCAAACTAGAACCAGCCAGAGGCAATAACAAAGGCAAGAATCTGGCTAATGCTAATGCTGGAGATATCGTCAAGTGAATTGAAGAAATGGGCCCCTAAAAACTTAGTTCTGTTCTGGCCAAACCTGGACATAGACACATCAGGTGTTCTGGTGTCATTTTGTCAAGAGCTGGTAGACACGCACTACAAGAGGTACCACAGGGTAGGCCGAGTCTAGCTCCATGCCGTCCTATGGACCAGTGTCCTGTAAAAATAGATATTAACCTAGATACCTCAAATTTTTTTCTACAGATTAACTAAATTATATAAGTATTCTAGGTTATCTAAGTATACTCTCTCTAGCAATGCACCAATTAATCTTAAAGGTTACAGTTTACAATATTCTTTTCTAATAACAATAAATTTTTACAAAACCAAAATTTTGCAAAAAAAGGGGTCTAAGAAATTTTATAAATATTACTTATACTTTTTAAAACTAAAATATATTTATAGGATCCTGAAGCTGATGAAGGTGATATAGAAGATGCTAAATACGTCAAACGCTTAACTTGTGGTTTATTTACCTTAGAGCGAATTGATTACATTATTTTAGAGGCAAGCGCCTCTTCAGAAACTGTCAAACAGCGGGTATTACAAATTTTGAATCTACGTGGCGCTTCTATGAAGACCATACGTAGCATTATGAGAGGTACGCATCAATATTTATTTAAAAAAAAAATACCAAAATTAATTAATTTGATTTTTTTAATTTTCTTTAGAATATATTGGGCATATGGGTGATGATGGTGATGCCGAGTGGAAAGCAAGTCAACAGACATATATACAATCGTTAATAGATCGTTTTTAAATCTGTTGTTAAGATATTAAACGTCAATTTTTTTTAATTTAACTAAACCGATGTAAACAATCAAATAAATTAACAAAATAAACAAATATATTATTACATTATTGAAATGTTTTTTAAATGTCTGAAATTATTAATACTATTTTTAGAAAGAAGAGATATATATATGACAAAGGCTTTAATAAACTCTACCGTATTTATAAATACATACTTTACATGTATTACACAGGAGAGATATCTGTTTATGAGTGTATCAGTTTAAATTCTGCCGATTAATTTTAGTAAACGAATCAAAAATATTATGCGGGATGCGGTATTCGGTCTAAAAATCAGTTAATATTCTTTAAAGTTCTTACAACGTAACATCGGACGGATTGTCATCGGCATCTATTTTCTTTGCTTTTTCGAGTTAAAGAGAACATCCATAAACTGTTAGTGTTGATGTTACATAATGAATCAAATAATGGTTATAAGTGTGGATGTGCCTAATTACTGGAGTTCTTATCTACACAGATGATCAGCATATCTTGCTGCGCCGAACAGGGACAGTGCCAATAGCTGACGTGAAGCTGTAATAATGACAAAGAAGAAAGGAAACAGCAACATATTTACTATGGGTAGATTTAAAGCTCTTACTAATGAACAGCTCTTTGATCATATAGGTGTAGATTATATGTAATCATAGAGTAAATCTTTATTTACTTACAAAGCTTTCCTATACTCATTTGTAGAACATTCGTATAAAATAAAATTTTTTGTAAATTTTTAAATATGACTTTCAATTTTTTATAGTGTGGATATTCAAGTTGTACTTGGTTCTCTGATACCCTATATGTTCAAATCGAGTACTTGTTTGAATTTATTATATATGTAATGAATAGTTCACGAGTTCTTCTATTATATGAGACAAAAGTAGATCGCGATGTATTAGGTCTGTTGTGATAACCAGTATTCCCCATAATATTAGTAAAATGACTATCGTTCGTAATAGCAATCAATATTATAGTTTGTTCTTTTTTATTTTTAGTATATAATAATTTAATTACATTTTATATTTATTTTGACTATGACTGGCAATGAATCATAGGCATAGCTATGAATAATAAATGCATATCCCACTTAGCAGCTGTCAATTTTTAAATTCACTTATCTACTGAAATTGGCATTTGTTATTATTTTTATTACAATCATAGTTAGAAGGACTTGAATATTAGCTGTCTGTGACATTGTTTCCACTAGTACCATGTTTAGTTATTGAAAAATGTCCCACTTCAGCTATAACTAGAAAAGATTTGATCTTCAACTAGAGATTTGATTTTCAGTTAGAGATTTGATCTTCAACTAGAGATTTGATCTTCAGCTAAAGATTTGATTTTCAACTACAGATTTGATATTCAGCTGAAGATTTAATATAAAACTAAATATTTGATCTTCAGCTAAAAATTTGATCTATAGTTCCTGATTTGATCTATAGTTCAAGATTTGATCTATAGTGCAAGATTTGATCTATAGCTAAAGATTTGATCTTTTCTACATCGATTTTTGACCACTCTGATTCGTGACTGTAATTCTTTGTAAAAAATTCTTTTTTTTATTATTCAAATACAAAGCCTTCCCCAAGGATATGTAAGAACGATTTCATGCTTTCCATGCATAGTATGTAATTATTGGTTTCTGATAGGTTCGACCGTACTTTAGTCTTATTTAAAAGACTGTGACCAGTTATCACTTGAATTATTGTTTTTTGGTTTAATCTATTCAGAATCTAAAAATATTCTATTACATATTCTGCTTTTCTCTCCAAAGTATTTTTTTATTTCCAAAAAAAACGCTCTATAAAGTGGAAGCAACTTTAGTACTATTTCAAGTCATTACTTTTTCTATAGAAGTTGTCGCTATGAAGATAATATAAATGTCTTTTATTATTTTCTTTATCTTTGTCCAGACATTACACAACTTTATCTTAGAGCTCATTTCTTAAATGGTCTCAAAGATAATAATAATGAAAGTAGACTTAAGGAATCTCTGTAGATTTATTTTGAAGACCATATGGCATGTACTTAACATGTATTATACCTAAAGTTATACACGATTAGTATTATTATGGCTCGGAATGGAAATGTTAATAGTTGCATCAGCACGATCCTCTCAACTTAAGCACTTATCCATTTTATTGAGTAATGTGTATTTTATTGAATCATACTGCCTTTTTTACTAGTTTTTTAATATATTTGTTTTTGAGATTTAACCGAAGATTGAACTTCTCTTTGAACTTTATAATGCAATATAGAATTTTTTTACTGTTTATAAATAGTTTTTTTTTTGCATATAAAGAGATTTAAGTATGATTTAAATATAATCGATTAATAAAATCATTTAATAAAACTTAAAATTGATGCTTAAAAAAATAAGTTAGAATGTTTAATAAGCAATAATTTTCTAATTACATTGATTTGTATATAAATTTTGGTATAACTTATATATGCAAAATAAAACATATTTATTATTTCAAATTTAATTGTTTAATTTAATGATAAATTTAAAGTTATAAATTTGAGTTAAATAAATTCTTCTAAATTTTTATTGAATTCTTGCAGTTCTTGAATTTCAGTCGCACTTTGGTTTTCATTATTTCTTTTTAGTTGCGCATGAATCTTTACCATCTTTACCACCTTTACCACCTTTATCTTTTTCACTAAGTATAGATAGAAAAAGACATTAACAAATGAAAAGTAAATAAAAATTATTTAAATAATAAATAAAGTTTAATTTATATAGTTCATTTTGTTCTTGGAACTAAAATACTTAAATTAATATAAATTGAAATTAAAGTAAAAATAAACAAGTACATAATGGAAAAAAATACCAGATTATTTTAACTTATAGAACATAATTAAATATTTTGCAAAAATTGTTATTTTTTTCTTTTTTTTGTTGGTTTTCAATTGAATTTTATACAAATTATTTAAATTCTAACAATTATATTAAAACATTAACTACTTAAGTCTTTAACATTTACAAAGTGCTGCATAATATAAACATTTATACAAGTATGTGCAAAAAAATACAAATATCGAATTATTTATAACGACTGTTAACATTTCTTATAGGCAATATTTAAGCTTAAAATATTTTAACAATTTTTGCAAAAAATTTTCGAAAAACTTTCGATATGCAACGCCATTAGCGGCGTTACACATATGAGGTTCGCACATAATGTCATCATCTGTAGTGTGGAACTACTTAATATAGTGTGTGTGTAGAAGTATGTGTAGTTATAACTGATGTAGTGGTTGGCGGTTAAAAGTTAAAAATCGTATCTACTTGGCGCTATCAGGAATCTCGAAGCTAACATCCATATTCATTTCACGCGCTAATTGCACAATTTTAGCCAAATGCACAGATAAATTGGCAGCTTCATCCAAGTCGTGACGAGGTATAATCCTCAGCTTAGAATCTTTAATCAATTGACGGGCCTCATTCACATTTGTACCCTAAGTGTGTTAGATAAAGTATTTATAATTTACGCAAATTTTTTTATTCAAGAATAGTAAATAAATATTTACCTGTAATCTGACAACGATTGGCATTTTCATTTTCAAATCTCTGGCAGCAGCGATAATACCCTGGGCAATAATATCGCAACGCATAATACCACCGAAAATGTTAACCAATATACAATGAACATTTGGATCAGAGGTAATAATTTTGAAAGCCTGTTTTACCGCATCTGCGGTAGCACCACCACCGACATCTAAGAAATTGGCTGGGTTGCCACCGTATAGCTTGATAATATCCATGGTAGCCATTGCTAAACCAGCACCATTAACCATGCAACCAATATTGCCATCCAAAGCAATATAATTCAATTGGTATTTGGCGGCTTCCACTTCTTTTGGATCCTCTTGTGTCCAATCGCGAAGAGCAAATAATTCTTTTTGTCGAAATTCAGCATTATCATCGAAACGGAATTTGGCATCGAGTGCGAAAACTGTGAATGTATTTTTTAGACGAATAAAACATATGGATTAGTATGCGAATATTAGAAATAGATGATAATTAAATGTATTATATTTTATATTAAAGGCATTCAGGCGTGCTCAGTAACCCAGTCAAAATGTGTGTAAATTTGTTTTTATGAAAATACCGAGTTACTGAGACATTATAGCCGACAGTTAGTTCAATGTTTCATATTATACAAGTTTTTATTATTTTGTTATAATGCCATATATGTTATATCAAGAAGCTAATAATATAAAATGCAATGAATTGAATACTCACAACTTGCACATTCTCCACCTACAATCCAAGCAGGCAATTTGTAAACAAACAAAAGTACATGAATATTTGTGATGAGATTGATGATTTTTTTGTTTTTTTTTTTGATAAAATAAAATGAAAATAAATAGAAATTTAAAAAAAACGAATGATAAATTAAAAATGAAAACATAAATTTTTAAAATACAATGTGAAAACTACTATATAACAATATAATATATATATACATATATATTTAATAATACTTACTTCCTTCAAGCGCATCTTCAGCATAAGGATTGATTTCAATTAGTAAAGCATCCTTCTCTATAAATAATTTATACATATTTAATAACATTTCTACGGTACTCTCTTCATGATCTTGCAAGCCAACAGCTTTCACGACTTTTTGAGCTTGTTCTTCCGATAAACCACATTTAATATCAACTGGTTCATAAACAATAGCTTCTGGATTTGAGGCAGCAACATCTTCAATATTTACACCACCTTGAGAGGAAGCAATTATGACAGGTCCCTGAAAAAATTGACAGGAATTTTAATACATAATATTAAAATACTTTATTAAGTTAAAATCATATTTTACATTAAATGCACGCTCCATCATTACTGCAAAATAAAATTCTCTACGGGGAAATTTGCGTTCGGCGACCATAACAGAATTGCAAATACGTCCACCTGCACCGGTTTGCTTAGTGACTAATATTTGATTGATCATTTTTCCTCCAATCTTTTCAGCTTCTTCCGGTCTGTAATGAAAAAAGTCTTTAGTATTTTCCGTTTACTAAAACTTAAATTAAAAGAAATACAAATATTATAGTGCAAATATTGAAGCTACAGCTCGAAATGCTCTTATAGTTTCTATTAGGTATAATGAACGGCGCTTTGTCGTCGCGTTGGACTAGTAGTGGGCGAAGCTAGATCATCGATGAATAAGTCGTTCTGTAAACCCAGCCATTTCTAAAACGATATGTATCCAATTTATTAAAGTGGCAAGATGCCTTTACCTTGATCCAGACTAGTTTCAAATAACAACTATTTACGACTTTACTGACTTTTTCACTCTTTTAGTTATCGTGTATTAATTAAACTTTTTTTCTAAAAACTTCTAGAATGCTAGAACACCATCTTATAATTTTTTTTGAATAAATTTTTTTTTTACCTTATCTATTTATTCAAGAGCGTATAAATAATTTTATTTATTTATTTATTTTATACTATTTAATAGTATATATTATAAAATAGATATATCAGACTTACGTGAATACAACGCGTACACCGCCTTTAAGACCATTCTTGAAAGTTCCTACACCACGGCCTCCGGCTAAAACTTGTGCTTTCAATACTAAATTTGTTGTCTCCAATTTTTTGGCAATATCTGAGCATTCTTTTGCAGATTTTGCAACACCGAATCTGTAAAAATAAAACAAAAAAAAAAAAAGAATCGATTTAGAAAGGATATATATATATAATTCACAAAGGATTATTATAATCTGTTGATCACAATTGTAACCTCAAATTTGATGTTTGCTATTCTATATCTGCCTTCAAGAATTACTGATCATTTTTTGAGAAAATCAAAATTATTTCCTATTGAAAAATTTTTTATTTATTACAAATAAAAGTGTGTATATCTAGTAGATTCCAAAATCAATCTGAATTTGTCTGTTTGGGTAAATTTGCCTATTTGTGTGTTAAAACCTTCAGTAATCTGCTAACTGGAGCTTGATCGCTGTCTTGGCTCCATAACTACATATGCACATTGTTATCGACCCATGCCCACAGTGTATTGCCTAATGACAATATCCGGACACGGTGAAGACTAGTCACCGAAGAAACGCCAAAAGAAAAAGGTATATACTTAGCTCTACAGATCATAATCTATCTGATGGCATACTTTACTCCCATACGCAAACTGAATGGAAATATAAAATAAAAAATAGAGATAACTATAAACGTAACTGAAAAAAGGATATCAAAAAATACAGCCAAGTCTCAGTATGTCTGCGTTTTTTTTACCGAGAGGCTACAATATCAAAAGATATTCAAGTCATTTGTCCAATCCTCTCTAAGTTTTCACTTACGCTTTTCGTCAGGGTTATGTGGGTTGTGTCTTTTATATAAACTAACAATATTTTTTAGCTACTAAGATACCAGTTAAAGTGACATAGCCTATATTCACAACAAAATGGTTTAACTATTGCAACTGTTTCTTAGCTAGAATAAAAATATTTATTCGCTAAAAATTTATGATCATAATTCTTTTTTTAAGCAGCTTTTGATGATTCATTTAAAGGTTGGAACTAGTCTACTGCTTTTACTATTTTTGTTTCGATAAGAAATTACGTAGACTGACGTATTTAATTGTTCTTCTGAAAAATAATCTTTAAGTGGATGATTATGACTTTATGGTTATATTATGAGATCAAAAACTAAAAGCAAAACAAATGTGGATTATTGAAAACATTCAACAAAACATATGTTATGGTTTGTTTTGTTTAATATATAAAAATTTTTATGAAGTTCTTAAGTCAGATCAAAAACTATATAATTGAGGTTCCAATTATTTAGGAATTGAGGTTGAGTGTTGAGCAGCGGCAGCTATAACATCTCTCCCAACAAGCAGAAAAAAGCATGTTCTGAATTCAAAATACGTAAATGGTTGGTAGGTTGGAGTGGCGGCCTTGTAACCCAAAAGTCCATTTGAGCTCAAATGATGTCGCATTGTGGTACCACAGGAATGACGTTGGTATGTACATTGATTTAGATCAGTATATATTTAACACCGAAACGAAGGTAACGACTCTCCCATTAGGTAAAGGAAAACCAACCTGACAGTTCTATAAACTTGGCTAGGTCTCTAACAGGACAGGATGACAGCTCAGTCAGATCGATAAGAAAAGGGGATCCTAAGATTTTTAATCTTCTTCTAGCTAAGGAAGGACACTGACACATGAGATAGAGCATGGTTTCCTCCTCACCCTCAGAGCCACAACATCGACAAAAATCATTAAAGGGAAGGCCCAGTCGCATAGCATGCCTTCCTATTACACAGTGTCCCGTCAGCACAGATACCGTGGTGCTGAGCAGGTTCCGTCTTAGTTGAGGTAGCTGACTAGTTCTTTTTCTTGTCTAAATTAGACCAAGTCAACTTAGAAATCTGACATTGAGGTTCGACGTAAATGGTTGATAAAACATATATTTTCACTAAAAGAAAGGACAGGGAGTGAGGTGGGAGGAAAAACAGGTTATCTTCTTGGGTTACAAACAACAACTTTGTAACTTTCTTGAAAGAGTTATAACATACCACTACTATTAATATATTTTTGTTGTAGCCAACAGCAACCTAGTAGCCTTGAAATAGTAAGCGAAACTAAGGTTCTGTCAATCTGATTAGCAAGCACATAAAGGATTGACAAAACGTACACAAATACAGAAGAATGGAACAGTGAGGGGAAACAACTGAGGAATGGAACAGTTGGGGTTTAACAAAAAATTTGTAATTCCAATATAAACAGAATATCACCACTATTACTATTTCGTTGTTATAACCCGTAGCATTCCAGTACTCTTAGAAAGATTGAATTTTAAAAGCAATCTCATAAAGGATTAACATTAACACAATCTCAGCAATCTCATAAAGGATTAACAACATATACACAAAGAGACGGTAGGAGATTGTGTGGCGTCTCTTGTGTTTACAACAACTATGTATGTTATTTCCAACAGAAACGGTGTGTCCCATCATTATTACTATTATTTCTTTTTTGTCACGCGTAGCAGTGCAGTATCCTTGGAAAAACATAACGAACTGTGAAATTCCAAAAAGAATGCTGCTCTGGAAACTATTATTGTGCTATTTTTGTTATTGTAACTCACGCTGGAGGTTTGCTTTTCCAGTCTCTGTTGGAAGGAATGAACGGATGAACAACTAACAGTGTTATAATATGATTTAATCACTTAACAGTTAACAGTAAAAATATTTTCGTATCTACTTAATAAGTAGATGATCAATTAATGATGAATACAAAGGGAGTGATAATTAGGGATTAAGCCCACCCTAAAATATTTTAGACAATTTTACATCAGATATAATAGATTTTTTCAATTAAATGCTTATGCTTTCTTATTAATTTTCTCCTCCTTAAATTAGTCTCTGTATTCGTCAATGCTCTTAATATATCAATAATAATATTACTTATTATCACCAAAGCAATATAAATTATAAAATTCTTAACTATTTTCCATTCTCTAACATAAAAATAAATAAACATCAGTTGTCAATCAGTCAGTGCAGTTCATTTGAGCAAAAATAGAATAATCAGAGCAATTGCCAATGCGTTAACTAACGAAGAAGTGATAAGCTTCGAATCATTTATTTGCACATAAAACAAACACTAAATGTTTTAATATCAGCAATACAAAGTCTATAAATTCTACAGAGACCATATAGACGATGACGCCTGGTAGCGGAAAAAAAGTATTGCGTATAGCTTAAAGGTCAAATGTGTTTGGTTTTTATCTTTGAAAATTCGGAAGAAACAATTTACAGTACCAAAACAAGGACAGATAGATAAATTGGCAGACTCATTCAAGGGGTGTAGGACACACTAGCAAGATTTTCGTTGGAATGAATTTATAAACAATTCACTGATAATGAACTTTATTATCAAAATCAAGGCAAGACGACTTGATTTTGAATATTTTTTTAGTATATTTTCAAGCACTAACGCAGTGTATGGCCAAATAGTGTTTGGATTATTGTACTAAACTATAAACAATTCATTGATAATGAACTTTTTTTTTATCAAAATCAAGGCGATATGGGATGATTTTAGATTTTTTAATGCAGTTTCATGAATTACAGTATTGTGAACACACATTAAATTCTGATTATTATATATAAACAGTCTGTCATAACTCGAAGTACCATTTTGTAAAAAAAAGGTTTGACTTATGGAAAGTTCAAGTTAAAGAATTTTTTTTGTAATTGTATGTTATTTGCTCTCTAAACCCTGTTGCACTCTATTTAATTCGAGTTATAGAAAATTCGAATTATAGTAGTTCGAGTTATGGAAGTTTAACTGTATAATAATTGAAATCGTTACTAATGTAATGAGGAGGTGTAAGCAATGTGCATTTATTATTATTAAAATTATTGACGTGAAATCGCCCAATAGCCGATACTACGGCTAGAAGAGTCCTATTGTACTAATTTCACTATTGTTTATATAAAGCGCTTTAAAGCTTTGTGACGAAAGTCCAGAGCTAAATCTAGAGAAGAGGTCTTAAGGGTCGGGTCTACGTCTTGGAACCACTCGTCGGCAGCGACGACCAAGTGCCGTAAAACACTCCTCAAAGGGACTTCACAAGCAGGTCCCAGCTGGTTACAACAATAAGAGCTCTTAATCTATTCTGGTGACAGAAATACTATATGAAATAAGTTTCTTCTGTGCGTTGTTAAAGCTGGACATAGTTAAGTCAATGTGTAACATATATGTATGTTTATATAGGGAACATTTTGTTTGGAATATTTGCTGTTAAATAAAGAGGATAACTCTAAGAGCATATATATATATATATATATCAAAGTTTCTATGCAAAAAATAACATCAAGAATGTGTTCCACGAAGATAGATGAGGAAACATTAATATGAAAATTAGTATAAAATGTCGTCAAAAATAGTTATTTGTAATGAGACAACTGTATGTGTTAGTAAGTTAGATCCTTCAGGTTAGTTAAGGTGACGTTCTACCACCTTATCATAGTATATATGGTTTTAATGCACAATCAAATTTCCATGATATTTGGGAGTTCAGTTTTTGTAGTTGTAAACTTACTTTGGAGTTGGAATACCAGCTTTATTTAGTAGCGTGTAGGATACATGCTCCAAGACATTCAAATTACGTTTTTGTTGGCAATGAGCGCTGGAAAGTCCCAGGACCTGCAATAAACGAATGCGTTAAAAGATTAAAATAAACAAAATATAAAGAAGAAGCATATGAAAACATTAACCACTGCTGCATTGCTTGTTATTTCTTTAACACCAAACAAAGCTAAATTTGCAAAAACTATTAATTTTCGTGATAAATAATTAAAGTTAACCTTGAAAGCAAGAATTATGTATGCCAATTGTTGCTCTCAATAAATTGAAAAGTCACGAGACGTTCCTGCACATAACCGCGTACGTCACGACTAACATTACCAAAATATCAAATTTCTATGAGTAACTTTTTTTTTGTTTTTGATTAATCGCAGGTGGAATCTGTTTTTCCGATTGATATCGTGAAAATTGAAGCAATTTTTGCTTCAACTTTTTAGTTGCTGAGTATGTGAAAGTAAGCCAAATTATAAAATTCATTGCCGCTGTCGAGGGCAAATAAAATAGACAAATTAAACAAAAAATTTGATTAAAAACTCGTTACGTCACGAAGTGTTGGACACCACAGCGGTGTGGTGCCGTGCAGGCGGAACAGACAATTTCTCATTTAGCTTCCATACATTTTGCGAATTATGTAAAATTTCTTTTACCTTTGGTCCGACTTTAGAGCCAATAATTTCACTTAAAGTCGCTGAACGAATTAAAATCGATGCCATTTCTCGTCGATAATAGTTCAAAAGTATTCAAATACAAAAATAAACTATTAATATTCTTATATATTATTAAAAAATATAATTTGCAACTCTTCCCGCAGATGAAAATTGAAGAATGATTCGAACGAGAGCGAGTATATTAAAATATTTGCTAATTTAGTTCTTTTTTTTTTTTTGATATTTTGACAGTTCGCTGTGTGAAACCATATGACGAATTTATGTTGATAATGCAGTAAAACAAAACACACTAATGGCTAAAACAATTGAGACGGATTAAAATTTTTGTGATTAAAATAATAAATAAATATTCTAAATAAAATAACAGAAAATAATATAATGGTTTACTTTTTTGAAAAAAAAAGTTAAAAAAGCAATGAAATATTGTTTTTTATATGTGAATATACAGTTAAAAAAGCAATGAAATTTTTTTATATGTCAATATCCGATAGAACTAGTAAGCTACAATGAAGTTTGAAATTAGAAAGGGATAGAAAGACATAAAACATTTGAAAATAATTACCAAATGTGAAATCTCGGTATTAGATAACATTTTTAAGATGGAAATAATATACAATTTCTTAAGAAATGTGGGTTTATGAATATATAAATATTACTTACGAACAACCCCAGCCTTGATTTCATTAAATAAAGCAATCATTGTTTCATACGATTTATATTAAGAAAACCAAATTATATATATTAAGGTGTGTGCGAGGTCAAATAATTTGAGGTAAAGTAAACTGAAATTTCCTAATAGATATTTGCACTGCACTTATGTAAATATTTATTTATTGCACTTATGTATTATTATTGGTTAAAAGTTTTCCAATATATTTACTTATTTATTAAACATCTTATAAAATTTTCACAATGGTAACACCTAATTAACCTAATTTTTATCTAGTTTACCCTACTCGAAATTCTGGTATATAGCAACATTCGCTGCCATACCGACATAATTTACTATTTCCTTCAATTTACTATCAATTTACTCGAACTCGCAAATGAGCTAATTAATTGAAGAGAAAAAGGAAAATTGAAATAAAACTATATAAATGAAATAAATAATTTATCATACAATGTGTTCTTTACAACACATAAACACATATTAAACATATATAATATAAAAAGGAATATATTTATATATAGCATATACATGGTTACGCGATTGAAGTATTACCAACCACACACGGATATATCTCTTAAGCTGATATGTGCAATTCATACGAAACAAAGCTGTTTATATTGTTTACAAGCTACCACAAGCATTTGCGTCTAAGTTTTAGAGAGCAATAGTTATTCGAAATTGAATTCAAACGTAATAGAGCTATTCTTCACCTCAAAGTGAGTAAAATGTTTTTGTATCCTGCTATAAATCGTTATAACAGTACAGGCAGCGTCGCCAAACGCTATGGTGTTGGACGAAAATAAAGAGCAACATCACCTAAAATGGTTCGGAAAGTTAAGGTTCAACTTTAATGATATCCACGTCATAGTTGTAATTAAATGACCAATGAACTATGAACTTAAAATATCCTAGCGAAGCATCCGACGCATATTTCAAAATGAGCTTAAGTTAAGGCCTTGCAAGATTCAAAAGGCACAAGATCTTACACCAAATCAACAATGAGTTAGACTCGTAAGAGCAAAGGAGTTGTTACACCTGCATAAACGTGGTAAATTTTCAAACATTTTGTTCTCTAATGAGAAAAATATCCCCATTGAGGTGTTCATTTACTCTTTAAGAGATCAGACTTAACTTTCCATCTCAAGTAATAGTATGGGTAACTGTGACCGCCGATGGCCGCTTTCCAACCGTTTTCATCGAACCTGGTGTCAGAGTTAATGCGATTTGTAATCGGGAAAATATTTTGGAAGATGCTTTAGAGCCGTGAGCACACAAATATTTCCGTGGTAGACCATGGACGTTCTTTCAAGACTCGGCATCGGTATCGGTCTCATAAAGCTCGTGTGAACCAAGAATGTTCCACTCTTAATTTCGCCCACACAATGGTTTTCAAATTCGCCAGCTGTAAGTCTGATGGACTATTTTAAAGAGTAAGGTTAGAAAAAATATGCCAGTATGGATGCGCTGAAGAAAGCTATTGTTCAGGAATATGTCAAAATACCGGAAGATCAAATTCGTGAACTATGCAACTCATTATTAAACCGTTTGAAGGCTATATTCAAAGCAAAAGGTGATCACATCGAGTTGAAATTCTGACATTTTGATTATTTCCACAAGTTTTTGTAATTTGAATCAATAAAAAATAATTCCACACAAAAAAGATATAGTTGTTTCAATATATAACACTTCAACTGCCTAACCCTGTAAATACTTACTTGAAGGTAAAAATTGTGACAGCTTGAAGAGCACAGTCTAGAAAATTACTTTTTAAAATTGATAGTTTTACTTCAACTCCGTTTTCTTCTCAATTACTGTAGTTTGAATTAAAATTTTTATATAACTTTTACCTGTGAAGACTTTCTGAAACCGAAGAATCGACTGAAATTTGCTGCAAGCATCAAAGAAGTACCCATCACTACGTTTTATATCCGTTTAATTTTTATGAAAAATATATTGATTATCATATATGTAAGATTAACACTGTACAAGTTGAAAAATATATTTATGTTCGTAGATTTTAATATAAAAATTTAAAAACTACTTTTTGAAAATTAAATGATGTTTTACTAATTTAAATATTTTAAAATGACAGTTGATCAAAATATTTACAAAGTGAAATATAAACTTACAGACATTTTCCTTCCAATCTCTTTTCACATAACACATTCCACATTGCCTTGTTTGTCGTCAAACCAGGTTGTGAAGTCGTTTATACGATGTTTTAATGTAGCTCTATTGCGAATGTTGTAATGAATGTTTTTTTGTCATATATCCAAGAAGTATCGATCTATGTTCTTCTAAAAATTGTTGAGAAAAGTAGTCATCTTAATATTTTTCAACCAGGTAATAAAGAGCAGAAGACATTTAAGTAATACATAACTTTCACGTCGTCGTCATATAACTAGAACAAATCTTGGAAACTCATTAAAAGGGACCGTATAAATGCTGTAAGGCTTACTGCAGACCTCTTTGGTCACTGATATGTAGGAACCACTGTATTCATTTAACTACTTATTGTAGAAGTTGTTAGAACTTCTAGGATAACATATCAAAAAGTATTCTTCCTATGATTTACTTTGGTTTCCACAATTTCTTCTTAAATGAATAGATGATATAATACTTCTAATACATTGCTGTATTTACTATTTGATTAGATATTTGTTATAGTGGGTTTGTAAAACTTTTTGAACATCCTCTATAGAGCCTTATTTCTTCCATACAAATGTGACCTCAGTAGAAGAATAAGTTCAATTTCAAAACCGAAACTCTATAAAATCATATAAATTTATTTATTTATGATTTTATATAAATAGAAATATCTAAGCATAAAACCTAGTTTGGATTTCTGTGATAGCCAAGACTTCTTTAATATAATGTTCTAATTAGTTCTATTCAAATGATCGGAGGTTATATGGCCTTTTGCAGATTATATTGCAATTAGTATTTTCGTAAAGCAAGAATGATTTTTAAATTAGAAATAAATAACATGAGTTTTTCTTGACAATGATTATTTATAGCACATTCGCACTGTTTCATTTAGGCACTTTTGCTCATTATAACCACTAATGGGGATGACAAAAAATTTTATATAAATAAGTTCATTATCAATAAATTAGGTCATTTACGGCGAAAATTGTCGAATGCAATCCTTAAAATAAATTTCCCACAAAGCAAATAGTTAAAATTTGAAATATTTATTTCATATTCATAATATATTATGTTTCATATGTAAAATACAAACAAACAACTGCTGAGCTGAAGGCAGGGAGGAAGTAGGTATTTAATAAAATTTTTGTTTTTATTAATAAAATATGTAATTGATATATAAAATTTATATAAATGATTTAATATATCAATTATACAGTTAATTTTTTTATGTGATATATTATTAAGTGAAGATTATTAGAGTTTCCAAAAGTCCTATCAGCTGCATAAATGAGCTCATTATAATGTGAACGTTTCCTCATTAAAATAAATGATTAAGTGGCTAAATGAAACATTGTGAATGTACTATTAGATTTTTTATACTCAACATTTTTATATTAAATATTAAATAACGGTTAACGTCAAGAATCTCTGAACGAATCAAGTTACGACATCTGATCTCGTTAGTCGAATCTCGTCAAAATTCTTCGTATATAGATAAATCTAACCAATAAACAAAAAAAAAAAAATAAATGCAAATTAAGTAAACTAAATTAAAGTAAACTAAATCAATCAAGAAAAAGTACACAAAAAAAAAAACAAAATAAATTCAATTCAAATTTAATTTTATTAAATTTATTATTTTAATTTTTTTTGGAATTTTTTGTTGCTTGTTATGGTGTGGACAATTTTTCATTCACAAATCACAAACATACAACAAGAAGAGACTTTTAAATAAACTATTTTTAACATTTTATGTACAATAATATATAACTAATTACATACGATAATGTTCATATATTACACTGAAAAAATTGAATGTTACTTTGTACCAGAGCAACATTTAACTTTTGCAGTGTAATTAACAATGTTGATATAAATATTTTAAATGTATTGAGACCTTATTAATTAATATTAAATGACGTTCGTATTTGTTCACATAATTAAATATTAAAAAAAAATCACAAAATAATTTTAAATAAACAACAAATATTTGCTACACTAAAAAAATTATTTAACTAAGCTCTTTGCTGAAAATAATTTTTAAATAGTTTTTATATATATAAAAAAAACTATGGAGAAATTATTTTCGAAAAAGTTTAGTTAAAAGGAAATTAATTTCGCTAAATTTATTTATTTACAAGTGTATAGAGTGCACTTATATACACTAAAATAAATAAATTTAGTTTCTGACATTGCAATGCCTTTTTATATATTCACTCTATTTTAATAAATTTTCCATAAATTTATTTTGAAAGTTTCAAATTTATGCAGAATTTAAAAAAGTCTGAATAAAATTACATTAAAAAAATATTAATAATATTAATTAATGCTTGTTTACAATGGTGTGCTTAATTTTACTATAACCGGCATTAAAACTTAACAGTTTAATTACAAAGTCTTAGACATAATCACAATAACTACAAATTAAATAACATAAAATTAATATTAAAATTAAATTACTAATAAATTTTACATATAAACAAATTTAAATAATATATTACAGAAAACAGAAACAGAAACGATAAAAAAAGCCTTTAAAAACAGCGTTGTGTCAGATAATTAAGATTTTTTGAAGTGTAGAAGATATTCATCATATGGAGTTATCTTAAAATTTCTAAAATACTTATTTACATTTTTACAGTGAAAATTTTAGTGGTCGTACTCAATATTCCAACTTATCTTCAATTGCTTTCAATATACGTTGCCTACCAATTTTATTCCACAGAAGTAATGGCTTCAATAGTCCTGAAACATTCCTTGGATGTCTGAAAATTTAAATAAGTATTATAACTGAATAAGTATTATCATTAAATATTACTGGTATTTGTTGTTTAATAATACTTCTGTTGAGAATTAATTCTTTGGCATTTTCGATTGGTAAATCTGGGATAATATTTACAATCAAGATGGCGTTTTAATGCACTTTTAGTGCAACTTTATTTTCGACTGGTAAATCTCGAGCAAAATATACAACACTCTAGATATTTTGCCAGAGTAGCGAGATTACTCAAAAATTAACAGCTGTTTTTTATGATTTGACAGGTAGACTCTGATTAGAATCGATGTACATGTATTAGTGAAATATGTAAATGTCTACTAAAACTACTACGAAAATATGAGATTAGATTATATAGATTATATATTAGATTGTAACATTTTTTTGTAATGAATAATCGCATTCTTTAGGGGAATGTGAACAATTGTGTCCTGATGTTTAGGTTTTTATTAGAATTTAGTCTATTTTTATATCTTCAACAAATTTACTTAAATATTTTACACCTATTAGAATTTTTTAATCCCTAGTAAGCGGACTTACTTATTTTTCACCTATTAGAATTTCTATACCCTTAATGCACATAAACTTTTGATTTCTTCGAAGTGTCATTTACTTAATAAAAGCACAAGAATATTTTTTATATATTAGATTTTTCATATCTTTAAAGAATTTTGAAAACCTTGATAAAAAGACTCACCTATTGTATTAACATATTGCAATCCTTATATACATCATTAAAGGATAAAATGAAAGGATTAAATGGATTTTCTAGGTTTACTATCTTTAGATTAGACAATAGCCATAGTTTGATAAATATATTTTATTGTTTCTTTTGAAATCAAATATGGATATCCCCAGAGAACAAAAGAACTAATGCTGCTATTGAAGGTAGATCATTACTACCGGTTCCGTCAAGTATATTTCTTAATCAAAAAACTTATTTTGACCAGTATTTTAATACAACTAACATACATTGGTATAAATAGTTAAAAGTTTCTTTTAAAAATATCTGAATTATTATTATATATCAAAATCCATACTTACTGTTGAAAGCACTCATACACAATATGATTCCGATCATTTACCATACAGGACCATATGTCTATTACGCCTAAATAACGACCTTCTCGTTTAATGAATTCGTTGAAACGCTCCAGTTTAATTTTCATAGCAGTATCATGAGAATAGTTTGCCAATGGCGCTAATGTTGTCAGAATTGGTCTGATATTTCTTTTCACCATCGCATTCATGAGTTGTCGGAAATCATGTTCGATTTGTATCAATGTGTTTCCTTTGAGTATGTCCACTGAACCGATATTTACAATCAAATTACTCTCAATGTATGGTAAATTTTGTATACGTTTTGTGGCTGCTTTTATTGTCTGCCCAGAGATACAATGACCAGATTGCAGAATAGAATTAACTAGAAAAATATATTTTTTTTAAATAATACCAATGATTGCAAAGAGATAAAATTTTATATATATATTATATTATTATATATATTATTTATATACATTATTTTTATATATATTGAAAACAAAGACCATCATACAAGTATAGTTACTAATAGAAGTCATGGATGTTAGGAAAATAAGATCCCTGTCTACATCTAAAAATATAAACAACCCAATTAGCCATGTTCCTTTTAGTTTTCATAAATGTAATTATATATACATAGTAAACCAATACAGTTATTTTTAAGAGTAATTTTGCATTGAGAATATAATAGATAATAATGACCCAGTATATCTGTTTTCTTGCCCCAACGCACACACAAATTTAAGTCCAATCGACCTTTGGACTTGTCCCCTTGAAGTAGCTAGGTTTCTTCGACTGGATCCTGGTTAGTTTCAAATCATTCCCACCCCTCCCTCTTCCCTCATCCCTACACTTACTCCCACCTTTTCCATTCCTTATCTCATGTATTCGTCTTGTAATCCTTTCATGTTATCTGCTTTCAGGTCCCGGCGGGTTACAACAACAACAACCCAGTATATTATAATAATAATGGTAATAAATATTGAAGTAAACTCAGAAACTAGTATATGTATTAGGTTTAGTTTCAATAGCAACAACAATGCTACTAATTATTTGCTTGTTGTTCTCTTTCTTTAAAAACTCACGGTCATTTAATTTAAGAATTCTTTGGAGATAATGTCAAGAACGAAATATGTTACTACAACAGGTTCAAGAAATGTTTATACTCACTTCTTTGCGGTTTACAAAACGTTTCCATATTTGCTAAATACAACAAGAAGTCATCGCCCAAAAGTGGGAAGTCCAAAAGACGAGCAATATTTTCCAAATCTTCTTTATCAGATGCAGTTTTTTTACTACTAAACGAGTTGGATGGCAAACGTCGACACCAATTTTGGTAATCAGAATGTTTTTGGCGCCGTTGATTCATTTGATGCAGATTAGCTTCATCAAGATTTTTGGAATCCTTCTGGTGTTTTTCAATTCCTTTCGAGTTCAAATTATTAATGTTGAATCGATTAAAGCTAAAAAGAGACATATAAAGATATATAATATTTAAAAAAAGTTCATGTTGATTTATTAAGTTAATTAAGTGATGCTCGATTCTTTATATCATTTTTGGAAAACAATTTTTAATTCTTCTTGAGGTTTTCCTTATATTAAAAAGAAATTGATTTCTTTTGGAAGAGCAGAAGCAGATCAGGTTGCTTTAAAATGTACCCTCTTTAGAGGAAACCATTTAGGCAAATTAAGAATTAGTACAATATTTACAGTTGGAACTGCAACTAGTCAGACGAAAAGTAGACTATTCCTCACTTTCTCTGTGCATGCTCTGCTTCGAACATAACATACACTTCAAGTAAACCGCTCTTCAATAATCTCAAGAAGTTAGCGGATATAAACCTTCGAATAAACTTCGAAGGTTTCGAAACCAGACGAACTTGAGATCGGCGGATCTCACCGAGTCGTATAAGCAAGTGTGAACTGAAATAAAAATTACTGACTAGCAACCTATTTTTGGGACTATCAAAAAAAGCGGCAATATGGAGAAATAACTTGTTTATAAAGTAAACATTTTTAAAATTATTTATCGTATATGAAATAATTAAATGAAAAATAAATTAACTTTTACACAAGTAATCAAATAAAATATTGAAAACTATGATCAAATAACGACCTAATACTTAACGATTACTCTTAAAATAATAGACCAGATTTTCATGTATAATCCTACTTTTAAATACAATAACATATGTATATTATACATTAAGGATCGATTTCAGTGATAATTTAAATTTAAATATTGATTTAGGTCACCAACTTTGCTCACTTAATTCATACTTAAGACAGTTTTAGTATATAACTCACAACTGTTAAATCGACCCGGAGTGTTCATTCAATGAATTCAATTTCATAAATTTTTTTTTTATGCGTACTTACAGATGGGTCAAATTATCTTGAAACGTATCATTCTGTGTATGTACTTCGTGAACATCTGAAGTTGTTGTTTTGACAGAGTTTTTGTTTATCCATATAATATCAGAGTTTGTTTTCGGAATTTCAGACTGTCGAACTGATTCAGGGACGGGATCACTGATTCGCTCCTCACCCGATGAAATGTAATTGTACTCTTCTTCATCTTCTTTCCTAAGCTCGTCGTTCGATGAGTTTGAATTAGATACGTCAGAATTCAGCTTACGCCATACTTTGAGACTAGAACGATTCCTCAACTCGGAAGATATAGAATGCTGATATATATTTAGATTTTTTTGGTTAGAGACAAGTGAGTGTATATGTTTTGTTTGGTTGGAAGGCAACGCACTAAAAATTCGCGTTCCAACTTCATTAACATAGACACTGATCCTTGGTATAGTTAGCAGGAATTCAGTTACGTTATCAAAAACTGGAAATCGTATACCGGTTATCTTCAAATAATCGTCTAAGATTTTATATAAAATGTAATATAATAAAAGTAATAACAACATATAAAAGAATAATAATTTACCTCTAATTTGCGCAATCGTTGCACCATGAGAAGCACGTGCGATCAATATGCTGCGAATTTCATTATCCAAATCAGGAAATTCGTCGCGTATATCCATAAACTCATTATCCATAATAGTCATTGTTGATTTTGTATTTTCCAAATTATGGAGTGTATTTGTGGAAACGGATACTTCGCTGTTCTTCAATGTGGAAGTTGATACACTGGAGATAAGTTCAAAATTTTGAATATTCTCGAAGTTTTTTTCGGTAGATTGAAATTTTTTGTTGAATTTGAATATATTCCTTAATCTAGAATTATAGCTCCTGAAACTCTCATTAGACGTGAATATGTTTTTATTTAATATTTTGCTTTTGTGAAAGAACTGATTTTCCTCTCCGACACTTTGTTTCTGGAACGATTTAAGGCTTAAATATTTAAAACACGTGTTTATACGTTTACGGAATTCCGTTAAATTGCAAGTGCTCCAAACGCTGTCCCAATTACTTTTGATTGATTCCATTTTGTGAAAGAACCGATTTGTAGAAAGTATGATAATGACTTACACCATACGAATGTCTTTTTTTATCTCCGTCTTCTACTCTTAATGGATTCTCAGTATATGTTCTTTAAAAAAACGTGCTGAGTTATCATTGATAAAAAATGCATATACAGGGGTGTTCATTTGAATTAAATACACATAAATAAATTACCAAAATATTATAATGAATAGTTATGGATTTCAAGAATTTATGTTTATAATTCAATTTTTTATAGAACATGTAATTCAATTAGAAATTCTGTTCAAACTCGGTTACCAGTTCTGATCAAAATTAGTTAAATATTTTTATTACCATTATATGAATATGTCAGATAGGTAAATCTGGTTTTAGAAAATCTGATTCTATAATGGTAAGAAATTTATATGGAACACATATATCAAAGCTGGTTTATTTACAATTACAAAATTATTGTCACTTAATTTATAGACATCCCTGAGATAATATTATAAAAATAAGTTAGGTTATTTCTATTTAAAAATAGTTTCTATTAAGAAAATAGTATCTCTCGTCATAACTGATTTTAAATCCAGCTTTGTTATAAAAAATAGTTTCTGTTAAGAAAATAGTATTTGTCGTCATAACATAAGAAAGACATTAAGATAGACATCCCTGAGATAATATTATAAAAATATGTTAGGTAATTTCTACATAAAAATAGTTTCTATTAAGAAAATACTATCTTTAGCCTTGACTTTAAATCCAGCTTTGTTATAAAAAATAGTTTCTATTAAGAAAATAGTATTTTTCGTCATAACTACTTAAATCCAACTTAAATCCAGATTTGTTAAAAAAAACAGTTTCTATCAAGAAAATACTATCTTTAGTCTTGACTTTAAATCCAGATTTGTTATAAAAAACAGTTTCTATTAAGAAAATAGTATCTTTCGTCTTAACTGACTTTAAATCCAGATTATTTATAAGAAATTGTTAAAACAAAATATAAAAATGCGGTACACATAAAACTGTTATATGTTCACTTCTATTACAAATAAAATAAACCTTTTAATTCTTATATTAGATAACAATAATCACCACATAAATCGCATAGGTGTCTTCACATTAGGGACATTCAAACCGAATACCTAGAATGTACGAATTAAATTTTTGCATATAACTTGATTTGTTGGATAATAGTTTGAGGTATTCCATTAGAGTTCGATAACTTAGAATTCGGCAAATCTTTATTAGTTTAGTTTAAGTTAGGTTGAAGTGAAGGCCTTGTTTTGCAGAACTAAATTGAGCAAATTTGTTTTGCTCGGTCTGAATACTCCTGTAATATATCTCTGTATTTATTAATCCGATTTTTAATTTTATTATTTAGAATTATATTTTTTTTTAGTTTTATTTATATTAAATATATATTACGAATATATAATATACATATTTGAAACATTTAAATGTTTTTATACTTAAAGGATTATTATATTATCACACAAAACTATCATCCAAGGCATGATAACATATGTTATGTTTAGTTTAAAGTTTGCGATTACACATTATAGACCGTTTAACAACCGCTGAACGTGTTAAAATCGTGAAAACTAACGATGCAAAAACTATTCGAACCGAGTTTTCTTCAGTGATGAGACTTATTTTTCACTTAGTGGATAATCAAGAAACAAAATTGTTCCATTTGGGTTAATAAAAATCCACAAGTAACTGCCGAAAGATCATTGCATTCACAAAATTGACCCACTTGGAATAATAAAAATTCGCAAGTAATTGCCGAAAGATCGTCGCGTCGAAAAAAGTCACCATACCAAATGTATGGTGTGATATTTGGTCTTAAGGTATAATAAGTCTGCAATTTTGAAAATGACGAAGGTATGACAAAAACCATCAGTACTGTAAACTTCAATCACATCTATTTCTTTAGACGCAATGTTGAAGATATATCGCGTTACTGATAGTAGTGATCACTGAACACTACAGTCACATTATAACATTTATTTTTTTTTTATTAAATCAAAGATCACGATCATGTGATTTATTTGATAATTGACTTTTGACAAAGAATTAATCGACTTAAATGTCAGCTATGTGACGACAATTCTTACGATCAGTACTGGATAAGATATCCCGTGGGGGATATCATTCATTTGAATGATATTGTATTTAACACCTAATGTCAAGCTGTAAATAATATATTGTGATAATTTTATTCAAAATTTCACTGTGTGATATATTTTATTTAAATTATTTTTAAAATGATAAGCTCTGAGATTAAATTTGGTTTCTTTAATTATAGCTTCATATAATACATATATGTAATTTGAAAAAGATGAAGTATATGTTATGTATATATTTTTAAAATTACTGTCCTTTATACCAAACAACTCCTTAAAGGTGTAAATTTGTTAGGAGTTTTTTAGGAACTCATTTTCTGATCAAAATTATAATCAAAGCAGAAGTAATATTTTGTATACTTAGTTTAATAAGTAAATATTATTTAACAAATTTAATTACTCATATTAAGTATCTTTTATAAAAAGATTATTAAAGATTTTAATCTAATTTAATAATTTATTCCAAGAAAGAATACTGTATTAAACAGTTTCAACAGCTGCAATTTTATAAAAGGTGTATGTCATGGATGTGCACTGCCTGAGACAATCTTATCTATGTCAATAAAAATTCAGAGTTTATGTTCCTTAAATGCATTTAATTAAAATAATTAATTATTCTAGTAAAAAGAGAAAGTATTCAATGCAAATATCTGATGTGTGTATGTAATTTTACAACAGTGTGAATATAAAATTTGAGATATTGAAGTAGCATAAAATGATGTATTTGGGATTAGTCAGAAAGTACTTTATAAGATTACCCTTGGGAACTAATTCCCTTCAGACAAACCAATAAAAGTTTGCAATTATGTGTATTAAGAAAAAAGTTTTTTTTTATTGAAATAAACAATAATCAATCACCAAATAGTTATGCACCCTCTATTTTCTTCTCATAAGAATATTCTCCGCAGATGAGTTTCATAAAAAATTCATAAAAACAAATCAATTAAATGAAAGAAAAAAGTTTAAAAATAAGTTAAGTATTAAAAATACAAAATTTAAATATTCAAAAAACAAGAAAAGAAATAAAATTCTAATATTAATAAAAAAAAGCTATCCGTTATTATAAGATAATATCAAAAATAAGCTCTTTGACATATCTCTTTTGATTTATTTTTTGATACTTTTGATTTATTAACAATATAAGTATATATTGTATATATGTAAATATGTATATATTGTTATATATAACTGTAAACAGAATATTTGTTTTTATTTACTTGTTTTATATATTAATATTTCACCAAAATAAGATTCTTAAATTAAGAAAAAAGTAATATAATATTTAAAATATATAATATAGTAATATATAATTAAATAGAATATGTTTTTACATAAATGTATTAAACCAATAAATTAATTATTAAATTCCTTTAACAATAATTAAATATAGATCGTCGAAGTAAAAGTAATGGAATTTATTTAGTATGCGTACTTGGTTTTGAAGCATCCAATATTTTAGATTAACGTTTTGTACTTATAGCTTAATTTTCTTTTTTGAAGTGGACTTAGTTCACACTTAAATCAGTTTTGGGACTCAAGAAATAATTTCATAAAATCTTTTCCTATATGTATTAACAGATAATTATTTTAAAATGTGTTATTCTGCGTATATACTTCGTGAACATCTGAAGTTATTAATTTTATCTGAGTTTTTTTTTATGTACACATCACTCTTTTTTTCGGAATATATTGCTTAAATTTTTTTTTAGAGCTTTTGTAATATTTTTATACCCTTCATAAGTAAAGAAAATATCGACCCTATAAAATATATGTAGATATATTATACATATGTATATAGAATATTGCTATTTCTTGATTATTTTAACGAGTTGAATCAATATAGATATGCCCATTTAACATATTTATTTATATCTATTTTCTTTTTAAGAATTAACATTATATATATATTATCTTAGTAAGATCAATAATAGATTTTATTTAATCTGTATACATGGATACATGGATCCAATATGTTAGATTAATGTTTGGAATTTATTTTTTAATTTTTTTTTTTCGAATAGTTTGTAATATTTTATATATATATTTTATATATATATTTTATATATATATATTATATATTATAAAGTTAGTCAAGACATTCGTAATATATTTATATTTAATCATTTAACTCCTAAGAGGAGCATATACCGCAACAAATATCTTCCACTCGGTACGGTTGGTGGCCAATAGCTTCACCTCTCCCCAACTTTTCCGCATGTGTAACATTTCCATATCGATTTGCCTTCTCTAGGTATGAGCAGGTCTGTCCCTTCTTCTGCTACCCATCGGGTTCCACTCAATCGCCATTCTTGTGGTGTCACGTTTTATAGGTGATTGTTGAGTTAAAGACCATAGACGTTCATTTGAAATTGTATTTGACCAGAATACTTTAAGAATTTTGCATAATGACTGATTTACAAAAACTTGTAGTGCATTGATGCCGTTTTCTGTAGTATTCCTGGATTGACATCCATATAGCAGGCAAAATTTTATGTTGGAGTTAAATATACGTATTTTGGTCCGGCGCTATAGCTGAGATGATCTCCAGACTTTATTTAAGCGACCAAACGCTTGTCTTGCCTTCCTGATACGGTTCTCAATGTCAGCACTGGATTCACCATTTGCTGATATGATGCTTCCAAGATAGCAGAAAGACTCTACATCCTCAAGACAGCAGTTGTTTATAATAAAAGGATCTTGGACGTAAGCATTAATGCGCATAATTTTTGTTTTGATAACATTGATTTTAAGTCCCGCTCTGTTTTCCGTAGTTATCAAACGATTTAGGTTGGGAGGCATTTCATTATATCTGTGTACCAGCAGATATAAGTCAGCGGCGTAATCGAGATTACTCGAGCTATCTTGAAGACATTCATAAAGCAGTAAATAAAACATCAGACCTCATATAAAACATATATAGTATATAATCATTTCTGAATCAATACAGATATGCCTATTT